TGGATTTTTTTTTTTTTTTTTGGCGTGGGTGCTGGGGATCTGAGGTCTTCATACTTGTATGGAAATCACTTTATCAACTGAGCCTCTCTGTTTCGCACCCAAATTTAAGTTTTATTGTGTGTGTTGTATGTATGTGTATATGTGGGGGGGGGGCTGTTTGTGAGGTGTCTGCAAAGGGCAGAGCAGGACATCAGGGGTCCTGCTCTATCTCTCCTTGACTTTTCCCAAAAAGACAGAGTCTCTCAGTGAACCTAGATCTCCCTGGTTTGGGGCTAGGCTGGCTGGTCAGCAAGCCCCAGGGATCCTCCAGTTTCTGACCTTCCTAGCCCTGGGGTTACAGTCATCCATAGTCTCAATTAGCTCTTAATTGGGTGCTGTGGATCTGAACTTGGGTCCTCAGATTTTTGCATCAAGCACTCTTACCCCTGAACCAATGTCTCAGCCCTCCCTAATTCTTAAGTTCTGAACTAATTGATCTAATTTTACTCTGACTTAACTTTAGGAAGTTAAATACTTACACAATTCAGGAGAAGTACAACACTCTTTAAGCATGATCCTGTCTGACCATTTGCACACGGACGAAGGTCAACACTAACAGACAAATCTTCATTCTGTAAAAAAGTGTATATTTTTTATTCCAGTATTTTTTCGTATGCTATTACCATGCAATTTATTCACAATGAGTATTTGAATTTTAATAGGCAGGTTTCTACATAGAATCTATTCAGAACAAAGAAACTCATTCCATCCCTGGTACAACCACAGGACCAGCCAAGCATATTACAAATGGTCGTAGTAGCTTGTGAAATCCACGTGCTCTAAAATTTGGGGACTTTTTTTTTTTGGTAATTGTCATGCCTTGTGGGGATTATCAGGAATTACAGAGCACAAAGCCTTTTAATCTGTGGATAGCCTGTAATAACTGCATAATTCCGAGTAAGAGGTCTTTAACTTGTAAACCAGCAATTTATAATGCCAAACTTCACACGCCTTCCAGTTCTAATTTCAAGGTCTGCGAATGGCTGGTCTAGAGGTAGCACACACTCCGTGTACTTTAGCAGATCTCGCTCTCTGTTTCCCCATCCTCAGCCCTCATGGTTTAAAACAGAAAGAGCATAAAAAGAAAACTAGATTATGTTTGGTAGACAATTAAAAAGCTTTATTTTTAAAAACATTTTCAGGAGCAGCAACTACATTTTGCAAACTTTAAGATATTAACCCACCTCTCCTTAATATTCCAAGATTTCATTCACCATCAATTCTTACCAGAAAGATAAGCACAATTCCTTTCTTCTTGTGTCTACGGAAGGCACAAGCTACAAAATAGAATAGTTCTTTTTATGAAATTCATTTTACTTAAAATGTTAGTATTAGGAATTTAAGTGTAAGCACAGTCATTATCATACTGGTTTCGTTGTATTATAATGACTAAAAATAAATGTAAAGGAATGACAATGAACGAGGAAGGTGTTTCTGGGAATGTGGGGGATCATATTTAGTGATGCACTACTCAGCACACGCACAGAAGAGCGGACTTTCCAGTGCACTAGGAGGTTGTGGGTAAATGGAGAGGGTTTTACTTGTCGGATTTTATTTCAGCAAGAAATTTCCTTTTTCTATAACAAAAATATTTTAATAAAATAACAAATACATTGTAGTTAATAATTGTGGGGACTCAGATTTGCTTTGCTTAGCAGGGGGCCTGCTGGCTTCGGGGCAGAGGGTCTGATCGGTGACAGAGTCAAACTCTGGGACCTATACATCCCAAGGAACTAGCAGTCACGTGGGAAATGGCAGCCACATACAAAGATTTAGGGTACAAAGAAACAGGACATTTAGTCTGTTACTTGGCACCAGAAGGATTCTTAAGCTTTTACTCAAGGTTATCAATGCTCATCCAGTAATTTATTGGCCACAGTGTTTTCTTTCTTGGAGCTAAAAGCATGGTGAACTTTTAGCTTTTAGCTCAGGAGTAAACCTTTAACCTGGCCTAATCTCTTAGCCAGGGATAGCTGAGTTATTTGTTCAGGACAAGGAGATGAGCTAAGGGTTGTTGACCAAGATGCTTTCCCACAGAGCAAGGAGCCTAAACTTTTCTCTTGCTGGCCTTTCCCACAGAGCAGGGAGCCTGCACTTTTATGAACAGGCTGCCTCCTCCTGCCAGCCCAACAGTGTTCTGCAAGGCAGGGATTATCAGAGCCACTGTTTTCACTGCCCCTCCCTTTTAGCAGAGAATGTAGCCTGGACCTATAAGTTTTAGGCTCACCTCACCCTAGGGCCTGGCATCCTGGTTTCCTACAGATAATGTACTATGAAAATATTCTATGATTCTCTGCACAGGTTTAAAGTTCTGCTTTCAAGTTTTCAGCAAGAATTTTCAAAGAGTGCAAATAATATAGTGTTGATAAGTAATGTTCTTGATGCCAATTGTGACAGAAAACAGGCACTGAAACATATAATCATCAACTGGAGGATTGTTTGTTTCTTTAAATAGTAACTCAGTATAAAAAGTGTGGTTTATGTCCTCCCTATCAGCTAGCTTTCATGATTCCAGAAAATCATCAACTATCTTACCCAGCTGTGAATCCTATGAGCTACAGTGGTGATCAGCCTGGAAAACATGGCCATTGGTTCAACAATGATATGAATGTCATGGGTAAAACCAATATCCTTCTAAGTGGATTTAAGACCCACTCCACAGGAAGGAGCACTTGCCTGGTCCTCTGAACCTGGTCCTCTAAACTTGTGCCCTGGGAGGTCGCACACACAGGTGAGAACCTACTGGTATTATTTTGCTAACTGGACATAGCATAAGTACCCATCTTTAGCCCACAAATCACTGCAGGTCTTATTCCTTATCAGAGAAGCTTCTTTTAGCAGTGAATGACAGTTAATACAGAGACTCAGAACTAATCAAAGGGCAGAGAATAAATGACCATACAATGTTCATCCCTAAACAGGACATCTACATCACGCTATTTCCTCATCAAAGCGTCAGGGAACATCGCAGAAGAGGGTCCAGAAAGTTGTAAGAGCCAGAAGTTGAGAAGGATTAATACAAAATGCTGTCTTCTGGACATGACAAAGCCATTGCACTCACAAAGTCGCAGCAATTAAGTGATGCCTGCATCAGAACTTCGCAGCCCACGTATACAGAGGAAGGTCATACAACAAAATCACAATACCAGGCAAGGGAAACCTCCCTTCGAGTTGTTATTGGACAAGAGAGTCCAAAAATCTCCCCAAATAATATCGGGTATGACCACAGCCCTTGATGGACTCCCAGAACTTGAAGGTTAGACCCTATTGCTGAAGACACCACACATTTTGGGCACAGGACTCAGGGCAATTGAGCTGAAAATGAGCTGGAAATCTCCTCCTGAAGATGAGCTCTCATAGTATCAGAAGATACTGTGCAAGCTGCCAAGGGAAAAAAACAATCAGTTGTCCTCCCCAGCTGTAAAGCCTACAAATCACAAAAATGACCAGCCCAGAAAATTATCACTTTTGGTACATTAGTGGCATTTTTATTGGGGGGTTAATTCACAGCTGTCTAATTAGACTTAAGACCCACTCAATAGGAGGGAATCTATGCATAGTACTGTTAACATAGCCAAGTACACGTGATTGGAGAGATCATAGACCATGGAAGAGCCTATTACTGCCACTTTCCTAGACCAATGTAATTTCTTTCAATATTCTAAATATGTATCCATATATTCACAGGTAAGTATAGCTCTAACCACTCATAAAAGGAACTCCTTTTTGCAATAGATGGAGACTATCCCAAAGTTCCACAACTGCTCAAAATGCAGAGAATAGGTGCCTAGGAGGTATCCATCCCTAAGTGATACATCTATGATGCAACATCTGCACAGGGCAGAAGAGGGGGTGGAAAGAATATAAGAACCAGAGGACAAGACATCTGCTGCTAACTAATGAAATCTCCACAGTATGGCAGCCTGACAAGATCTGCATAATGGAAATACCAGTTGACCATGTGACTGCTAATCTGTGTGTGGGAAATACACACACACACACACACACACACACACACACAAAGACCCACATATTATCAAGTTCATCAACATCTCAAAATGGAAGTGGGAGGGGCTCACAAGGCCCCACTCCTAGTTCAAGAGCTCTTGGCATTCGATGGCTGCTGGGAAAGAGTCAGTCTTCTTCAAGGTTATGGTCCCTGATAGGTTTCCCATGCTGCAGTGGGTGGCTGTACACTCATATGCATAAGAGTGGCAGTAACTGAAATCAACTGGTTACAAAAAGAAGAGGAAGAAGAGGAAGACAAGGAGGAGGAGAAAGAGGATGAGGAAGAGGAGGAAGAGGAGAGAGGATGGGGAGGAGGAGAGAGGATGGGGAGGAGAAGGAGGAGGAGGAGGAAGAGGAGGAGGAAGAGGAGGAGGAGGAGAGAGGATGGGGAGGAGAGGGAGGAGGAGAAGGAGGAAGAGGAGGAAAAGGAAGAAGAGGAGGAGGAGAAGGAGAAGGAGGAGAAGGAGGAGGAGGAGGAGGGAGAGGAAGAAGAGGAAGAGATGAAGATGACTTGGGAGTGAGAGGGAGACCTGGGAGGAATTGAAAGGGGTGAGTGTGGCATGGATATGATTTAAATACATTGTATACATATATGAAACCATCAAAGAATAAGTAAAATAAAATAATAAAGTATGCTTTAAATTGGTTGAGGAGTAGCTCAGTGTTTACACTAGTTTTCACAAATATTGCTGGCAATTACATACATGGATGGCCAAGAAGTGGCAGTTTCCAGGATGATTGAAATTATTATCATCAAAAGTGGTAAATAAGCTTCCTTCCGCTTTTCATCTTTCAGGACATAAAGCCTCAGTGCAGGACCACTTAGCTTCTTGGAAGGTGCTGTTAAATGCAATGATTATGTTAAAGCATTCATGAAGTCTTATCTATGGTGAACATAACACCACAACATTAAAATATCGCATCTTTAGCTAGAGCATTTGATTACGCTCTCTAGTTATTTTTTCCATCCAGAAACAGCTCTGATAAAATGTCTCATCAATGTTGATCTCCTGACAAATTAAAAAACTTCAGTTTGTTTGTCTAAAAATGATCATTTCTGCATGACTCAAATACACATAAAACAAACTGGACTTTGAGGTTTGTCTACATGAAATACATTGCATTATTAGTACTAAAACACCAGCTACAAGCTTCAATGTGAACTTAGCCTTTCCAGGGTAATGCAGAGGCAGACAGACAGTGTTTAAAGTGCACTATCTCTCACTGGTATCTACTATAAATATAAAGTACAGACAAATATTGAAGAATGGCTATGAAAGTATTATAGGATATTTCATAACTTTGTTTTATATTGCTTTTATGTTGGAATTATAATATTTTGGAATTATCAGGTTATATAAATTGTAAAAATTTCACCTTACAAAAAATTTTAAATATGTGAACCAAAAATGTTCAGTAATATATCTATACCACATTTGCGCTCACATTAAAGTGTTCTTAACACTGTTGTGGGAATTAAAACTTATAATTCAATGTATTAAAAACAAACCGTTTCACATTTTTAGAGAACATTTTATGTTTTAACTAATCAATGGATTTTTTCACTGAATTATTTCTCTACATACAAAGTTTGAATCTATTTGTAGGAAAGCCCTGTATCAATCTTGCAGAATTCGGAGTTTCAGAGAAAAACTATAAGTAGCTATGGGAAAATATCATTGGTGAGTAAATTTTTGCTGAACACAAATGAACTACCCAATTACAGAGAAGTAATCTACACACAGATTAAATATACTACCTTTACCAATGCTGTCATACATGAAATCGTTTGAAAAATGACGAGTTACTTCTGATCATGCAGTTCCTTACACATTCTTGGAAGACTTAGCACCACGGTTATAATCAAAGACTTGTAGTTTGCTTTGCTTTCTATTTGCATCTACAGTGAATAGTAGTTTATGGGGCGCGCAGGGCTCTCTGCATGCCCTGGAAGTGGCGGCGGGTCTTGTCGCGCACCGCGTCGCTGTCCGCTGCTGAGGTGCTGAGGGTCTCGCAGCGCGGCGGCTCTGCGCGCCTGTTGTGGCCAGCGGGTCCCACAGCGCGTCTGCTCCGCGTTGCTGGCTCTCTGCTTCTCTGCTGCTTCTCCACGTCTCGGTGGGTCTCTGCTCCCGAGGCTTGCCTGGCCGTGTTCCACCCTAATTTCACCTGTGCACTTCCTCAAGATGCGAAATCCACTGGCTGCTCGATCACATGGGAAGATGTGAGGCAGCTAAAGCTAGAATTCTGTGAGTCGATGATGGAAGGATGCTGCCCCCCGGGGAAACTGGATCGCAGGCAGTGAGAAACAGGACTCAGCTTAGTCCGTGTTACAGCTCTTTATTCAGTGACTCTGCTCTCACTCCAGTTCCTGCTCCAGTTCCCAATTATTGAGAGAAAACCAGGACATTTTATACCGTGGGGGTAGTGGTAAAAGCTTTAGCTGATAGGTACTTTGTGAGATACCCCATTTACATATGGAAGTGGGCTCCTGCCATGCTGCCAGACTGCCAGACTGCCTGAAAATCACACAGGAAAAGCTGGTAGTCCCAAAGCCGGAGGCCATGTTTATGGTAGGGCATTTGTGGCAGTCACTTAAAAAGATGAGTCAGGAAGATGCTGGGAAGGTACCTTGCTGAAAAAGGAGTCTTCTGCATATGAAACCGAGCTCATGGGCTGTCCAGACATGGAGAGACTACTACTTTACACAGCAGGGGTCCCCAACAGTAGTTGACTGTTCACACACTTTCTGTTAGCCAATCACATTATCTTTTAAAGGTATACAGAAAGCTCATATACTTGATCACTCTGTATTTGGTAATTTAAAATGCCTGACTAAAAGTGAAAAAAAAATGGGATGAGATTGTGATCTCTGAAAACTTCGTTTTAAGGGTGCATTTTGGGAAAATTTCAAATTAGATAAAATATTGTTATTATTTCAACAGCCAGCCATAAAATGTAAACAAAAAGTACCCACGTACCACTGGGAGCCAAGGGGGCCTTCTCGGATGTCCCCTGCCTGGTACGCTTGTCCATTAGATTCACAGGGACATTTCTCCTTTAATACACATTTTCCTTTATCTCGAATATTATCCAAGAGGTAACCTAGAATACATTATGTTAATCTGAAAATCATAGACGCATGAGTGAATTGTTCAGTATAATTGCAGCCACTTCCAAACTAGTTCTAACGAAATGCTGACATGCACTGAAAAGATAATTTCTAGCAAGCAGTTGTTGCTCATTTAAATTGACAGGAACCGGGCTGAAGCTCTTCAGAGCCTTTGTTACGGCTCCACAGTTCCAAGACTTATTAAGCCCAGCATAGCCTGTGGAATGGGGGAACCCTGAGGTACTGAGGTACAAAACCACGCATTAGCTTTCAAGTCTCTAGCATTTCTCCGTGTAGAAGCCCAGGAGGAGTGACCAGGAAGGGCTCCTTGTTGGGACCGGTGGTTACTTTCCGGGCAGGTGCAGCTGCTCATGCACTCGATGTCTTGAAAAGGAGCTACATTAGGACAAGTGGGAGGGTTGGAGGGTCCACATTCTTCGTAGATATGTTTTGCTGGACATTTAGGCTTTTCTGGAGATAGAAAAACATAGCAATGTAAAGCAGAGGAATATTAATGAGGTAAATATACCTTTCTAATGAGCTTTCTCAAACAGGAATCTTTATTCTGATGTTCAAATACAAGTTAATTTTTAAAGATATCTATAGAACTAAATGATGCTAATTTCCTGTGCATTATTTCATTAAGGGGTATTTAATTTAGAAGTGATGTAAATTATACAGAATTTAAATTAATCTCATGTTGAGTTTTATATTCTCTCATACAAAGATTAACCTTAACATAAGCTAGTCTACTCAATGAAGATCATATTTACATTTCACTAACCTTTTTTTTGGTCCTTCTGAGAAAGGGTCTCCCTATATCCCCAGCTGGCTTGTAACTCCCTGTGTAGACCAGGCTGGACTTGAACTCACAGAGATCTGCCTGTCTCTGCCTCCCAAGTGCTGGTACTAAAGGCATATGCCAGCACGGCCAAACTAATTCCACTAATCTTTTAAAATAAAATAATACTAAAGAGTATACTTTTTGACAAATCTTCAGTTAATTTTTATGTCATTTTCTTCCCCCTGTGCCTGTGATGTGACTTGCCTTGGTGCACTAAGATCTTAAAACCAAATAATGCAACAGGCAAATCACATCACAAAATTAGCCTCAATTTCCTCATAAACACTAGAAAAAAAAACCACCTAGCACAAACCACATCCAAATCATCTCGCCAGTGTTCAAAGATGCCAGGACCATCAGCAGTGCACAGGCGGGACAGCTCTGAGTAGGTGTTGCAGGCCAACATCTTGCCTTTGTTTCTGCAGTACTCATCAACGCAGAGTGCTTTGTACTCACTGGCCAGTGGGGAAACTTTTCCACATTTCTCAAAATAGGTTGCAGTCATTTTATTGCAGGACTATAAACAAAGCACAATGTCTCCTTAAAACATAGAACATGCAACAAGATGAATTTTAAGAAAAGATCATTTGTTTTGTTTGTTTTAACATTATAGTACATATTTTTTTTCCAGAACTGGGGCTTTTGTGTACTAACTGAAACTTAAAATCTTAAGAAATGTTGTCAGTAAAGTAACTCCTAACAGATGTGTCATTGCTGGCATTTCAGATCCCTGTGATAGCTTCAAACACAGCTGCAGTATTATCCAATATGAGTTAGTCAATCTGTCTGAATCCATTTCTTACAATGAAGTGAAGTTCAGAACTTGCAAACATGGAAGGGCTGTGAAGGGATTTGTTAGTGTCCGATACTGGCGTGTTAATTGTTGGAAAACCGTGATGCACAGAGGAGATAATGTGCCTTCAACTGTTAAACTGCTTATGTTTTATGAGTAAACAAGTGGTCATAAAATATAGCATCCTTTCTTGGTGGGAACAATGTGTGTTTGTCTTCTGACAGAACAAAATAAAGGCATGTATTGTCATGGCACCAAAAGTTTGATTTTCAATATATTTCAGTTACCATATAGTATTTTATATTTTAACAGTTTATTTTCAGAAAAACACAAAAGCTCCTGTTTAATGGATATGTAATTTGTACTAACTAGCAATGAAGACTGATGCCATCCTTCAAATAAAGTGTAAAATAAGGAAAATAGAATCAGCAAGGATTTTTTTTTTCATATATTACCCTTTGGAAAATTTCTCATAACTTTCTCAAAAGCTGTTTTTAAGCATGTAGACAGAATTATTCTGTGTAACTTTGCAAACACAAGGTCAAGAATGGCATTTCAAACAGGCTGTCCAGGTCAAAAGTCAGGGAACAGGATGCAGATGGTGGATGCCCAAGCTGTGAGAGGAAAGACAGTCCATGCCCGTCCAGTGACTGCAGTGAAGCATGGAGGATCACAGAAAACCAAAACATCACGTGAAGGAAGTTGGAATTGTTGTACTAATACAGAGTAAATACAGTGATGCTTTGGGAAAATCTTACCTGATCATCCACAGATAGACAGAATCAGAAAGCAAGCGACAGGATCATTGGAGAGAAAGCAGTTGTAGAAATCTAAGAGTGATGAGCAAGTGCTTAGAAGAAGATGGGGCCATCTAAGGGAAAGTAAGGATTCCATGGCTATATTCACCCAAGCATCATGTTTGTGACATGGACCAGCAGAGCAAAATACCGATCCCAGGATGAAATCCAAACATGTATAGCCAACTAATTTTCACAAAAGTATCAAAAGAACGTAACAAGGGAATATAGTCATTCCAATAAACGATGCTCTTCAAAAACAGGATTTTCACTTGTAAAAGAAATGATCTCACACTAGAAAAAAAAATCAAGTCAAAATGGATAAAAGATCTAACTACAATATCCAAAACTACAAGACCATAAAAGCAAATAGGGAAAAGCTCCCAGTCACTGACTTTTGGAATGACTTTTTGGATTTTACTCTAAAAACTTGGAACACCAATGTGAAAATAAATGTACTGCATCAAACCAAAAGGTTTCAGCACAGCAAAGAATTCAATTCAAATTTCAATTTTAAATCTAATTTTAAACAGCAGCCTGCAGATTGGGATAATATTTGAAGACCACGTCTGATAAAGGGTTGTCATCCAAAGTTTATTAAGAGCTCATAGAACTCAATAGTGGAGAAACAAATAACCCAATTAAACCATGGGCAAAAGCTTGAATAGATGTTCCCCAAGGCATTAATTATTATTAGGTAAATACAAACCAAAGCTACCCCATACACATTAGAATTTAGACTTTAGGGGCTAAAGAGACAGCTCAGTGATTAAGAGCACGGCTGTTCTTGTAGGGGACCCAGGTTTGGTTCCCAACACGCATATGGCTGCTAACAACAATCCATAACTTCAATTCCAGGGTATTCATCACCTTCTTCTGGCCTCCATGGGCATTGCACACACAGGTGCATTTACATACATGCAGGAAAATTGTTAATATGCATAAAATAAAAATAAATTAATAATGGTATTTTTAAAAGAATTTGACTTTAGATTTAGAATTCCAACTTTATTAACACAAAGTCAGAAAATAAACATTGTGGGCAGGATATGAAGAGGAAACTCATATGGGCCAGAAGGAATGTAAAATTGTAGCCACTACAAAAATAGGACTGTGACCCAGCCAAGCAAAGAAAATGAAATCAGCCTTCATAACGACACCTGCACTCTCATATTCAAACAGCATCATAGGATATGGAAACCACCTATGCATCCTTAGATATAAAAATGGATTGAGAACCTGTGGCTAGAATATTATTCATCTCTAAAGGAAAGAGCAAAAGCTTACAATTATCACAAAACATGTGAGCCTGGAAAATATTATGCTGAGGGAAATAATTTTAAAAATTTCATGATCTTATTTATATGAGGAATCTTAAAAAGTAACCCAATATGGAAAGATAGAAATGGTGGATATAAGTTGGGGGGAGAGGAAATAGGGTGACACATATCTGAGGATATAACATAGACATACACAGGATGAATAGATCCAGAGCACATGTACATCATGAAGACCATACTGTGCAGCTGTAGTGTGGAAGATATTCATGCCGAGTGACTACATTTTAACTCTTCTTGCCATAGCTACATCAACTATATGATGGATATGTTAGTTTCCCTCACTGTAGTCAACCCTTTATGTAATCCATAATGTCACATTAAATACCCTAAAACACACATTAAAATTCATTTAAAAATCCAGGGGTAATACTGCTGAAATTGCTACAAGATGGAATATAGACCTCCTACCTGGAATCCATCTTCACACACTTCAGTGTTCTTCCTAAGAGCACTGGGACAGTCACCAGGAATTTTACTATTGGCAATGTGCTCATTAATATCTTGACCTGAAAGTAAAAGCATTATTTCAGATGTTCATGTGTGTGTCCTTTGTTTTTTGGCAACATAGATATGTTTTGATTTTAATAGTTTCTCATCCTTTAGACATATCCACAATGCAACCTCTACTCCTAAGGCTCAGGGAACACAGGGAATGAGGGGAGGAAAGAATTTAAGAGCCAGAGGAACAAGACACCTGCTGCTAGTTAATGCCTTCTAGACACGACAGGGAAGCTCTTCATGGCGTAGTAGTCTAACAAGATCTGCACAATGAAAAAACCAGCTTAGATGCCAAGTTGGATGGGGAAAACGTCACAGGGTCCCACCTCAAGACGAAGAGCTACAGGCAAGCCACAGATACTGAGAGAGGGAGAATCAGTTTTCTCCAAGGACCAGCTCCCTGAGAGGTCATCTAATTGCAAGTGGGTAGCACTAAGTGGACTCTATATACATATACATACATATACATATATATGTAACAATAAAAGATGAGAAGAAATTGAGAGGAAGTCAGAGCATGGAATGAGCTGCTGGAGGACCAGGAGGGACAGAAATAATGCAAAGACAATACTCATGTATTCTCAAAAATAAAAGCTTAAAAAAAACTATCCAAATGTAAAAAATTATAATTTTTCTTTTGGAAAGCAATTTTCTTAGAAATATTCCATCAGATCTTACCTGGAGTGGTGTTGAAGTTTCCACAAAGACCACAAGTTTCATACTGGCTATGAAGAGTGAGCTTTAAGAATATGTTATATTTATAGTTTTATAAAAGATTGAAAATAATACAAAATAAAAATCCAAGCAAACTGCAGGTCAGGGACTCTTCCTGTCTTCCTATGTAAGCTGGTCACTTGGGAGTGTGCTATGGTGACTTTCTTTAAAAAGCTGTGACTAGAACTTTGGACAGATCTGATGCCACCTCTTACTGCATCCTTAGGCAGATATCTTTAACTTTCCTTCACATGAATTATCTGGTACATCATCAGCCATGTAATAACTTTATGTACTTCAAGATACTTTCACTATTAGATAATGCCTAGCACAGTCAGTGTATCAGGATGTGTCAACTAATCTTAGGTTATACTTCCCTTATGATGTGTGTATTTCTGTAACTAAAGTGAAAGAAGAGAAATTTAAAGGAAAATCGTGGATAGACGTACTGAGAGCTTCTTTTTGCCCCAAATTAAAGACAAGGTTCTTCTACGGATGTTCAAAACATTGTGTTCTCCTTGTTTCTTAATGTGAACCATTTTATTACTGTAAGGCATCTGTACCCTGAAAAATAAGAACAGCAAGTATATGTAAAAGTGAAAACAGTATTGCGATAACAAAGAATTTCTAGAACAAGTTTTGGAGAAATAAACAGGTCAAACTTTGAGTATCAGCAAAGATGATCCAGTAGTTTGAAATGTTCACAAGTATAATTTGCCTCAATTTCCTATTCTGGAAAGTATTCAAAGGTTATCCCTTCCAAATATATGAACTTCCACTTCTAAAAACAAATAGTCCATGAACTTTTATCTCTTCTATTTCTAATTTCCAAAGCTCCAAATACGTATTTAGCATTCAACAATGCAAAACGCGTTCTGGTAATGGCTCTGGGATCTGCACTGCACTGAGTGAGCACTAGTACTCATCTTGCAGCAGACCTACAGAGTGTGTTCCATCAGAGACAAGCATCTGAACAGGAAGAGGACGACCTGTTCCCCATCTAACACAATTTTTTGCTTGTTTGGTTTTTGGCTCATGCTGCCACGAATTACTCCACACACTCAGACAACACATTCTGCTGTTTACCTTTCTCCATTAACTAAAAGAGCATCGTCTGAAATAGAGATGTCAACATTGTCAATCAGAACTTTTATTTCCTCAATCTCACTGTCATTGTTCCTTTTGATCTCAATTTTGAAGTCTCCTCCTGAGTTGGCACAGTCATTCCCCAAGTGCCAATATATTGCTCCAATATGTCACCAGAATGTTATGTCTTCACAGTGTTCCCTTGTCACATCACAATCCTCAAATGTGACATCACAGTGCTCTATGGGGCCATCACAATGTTACAATATGACTTCACAATGTTATATTGTGACCTCAGAATGCTCCAATGTGACATCAAAATGCTTCAATGTGCCAACACTATCGCTCCATGTGAAATCAAAATGCTCTATGGTACCATCACAATGTTACAATATGACTTCACAATGATCCATTGTTACATCAGAATGCTCCAATGTGAAATCACAATGCTCCAATGTGCCA